TTTTCTATAAATCAAGCATCAAACATCCTTGAATTTACTATTTGACAATCGTAATTAATTTTTTCTACCTGAAAGCGCGTCAAGGACACAAATCATTAGCTATTTCTAACAGCTACACCTGTCGGCCATAATTCTTGCGTTGTGGCTAACAACAACCAAACAGCGTGTAATTGTTGGGAAAGCTCACAGTTTTATTTGTAGTAGTCTGCAGTGTTGCTAGTTAATTGCCGCATGCGGCATGCCCGTTTGGTAGTTGGTGGGATGTTACAGCAAGCAACAGGCGAAAACATTAATCTCATTTAAAGCTAACAAATTGATTTATCCTTAACTGCTTTAATCCAACCCCCCTTACATACGCTTGGCATGTTGTTATTTTTGTTTTTTTTTTATGCTGTTATATATTTGCTATTGTATTGACGTCTTTCTTTGTTGATATGTCGACGTCGTCGCGACACCATGGCGTTGATACAGCTACAATAGATTATGTCGTTGATGTGTAGACGCATTGATAGATAAAGTGGACGCGAGTTGGGAATATTTGTACCTACACACTTATTTATGTGGTGTACATACGTAATTGATATGGTAATAGCTTTATTGCAGACATTTAATAGATTCAATTGCATTTAAATTGTTTTGTTGCACACTGTCGTTTGATGCATGAATGACGTACATAAGTAAATGCCACCGCCATACACGCCCGCGTTTACCAAATGTGGTTGCATTTTTTACTATCGATAGAGGGAGAATTTAAAAATATATACATTCATGTATGTACATATGTTCAATTTTATTTCGATTTCATCATGTTGGTATCAGTCTGGCAAACATTGCTTTGTTCTAAACAAGCGTAAGTTATTGACTGGCTTCTTTATGTTACTCATACGCCATGGCAAGTATGGAATGAAAATACATGGCGTATGAGTAACATGCAACTTTTGAGATGGCCAAAGCTTAGCTTGTGGTTCCTCACAAAATAATACCAACGGGATACTAAATCACTGGTAATAGGGCTACAAGTTTCGTAGCTCGGCATAACGGTTTGAGAATTAACACAATGGACCACTGTGACCATCGAATGAACTTTTAAAGTGCGGTCTACGCAACCTAACACAAGTTGGTATCATCTAAATAATTGGATGAGTCTTAGATTTTTATTTTAATCTCCGGTCGACCTGTGCACCTATAAAAATAGCATAAATTCAAATGCTAACTATGGGAAAATAATACCCTAAAATCTTACTACTACACTGCAATTGGCGATTTATAAAATGCACTACTTACATATATACATATGTACATACATACCTACCAATATCTATCTCTGCTTAAGCCGGTTTAGTTTTTCTCATTTTAGCTAAATGCATACGTTTGAGGTACACCTATGCTTTGCATTTCTAAATATGGCGCTTATCCTTATTCACTCAAGTGCGTATTCATTGTCGACTACATACATACATACATACTTACCTACTTAGCTACAGGCAACACAATGACTGCTTCAAATATTATAATGCAATTCATATTGTTTTGCAGATTCTGCAAGAGGACAATGACTGCTGCTGTTGTTATCCAGAAATGCAATGTCAAAGCGTGAGAGAGAATGAGTAGCATGCATATATATGTATGTGGTATATAGAGAGAAGAATGGGAGCAAATATATAAAGGGTTGCTTTAAATGAAAGTGGTTTTGAACAAAGGCATAGCAAAAAGTGGGTATTTAAAGGCATCTCGTATTTGAAGATAATTTAATTGATGAATGATTTTTAGTCGGGGCTTCAAAAGTCGGCCAGACTTGAAAACGGTTCAAGATACATATAAGCTGGGAGAAGTATTTCAGAAAGTTATATTACATAAACTATCAAAATGTTTCCTTTATGAATATGAATATGAATATGAATACGAATATGAATAAGAATACGAATACGAATATGATTATGAATATGAATATGAATATGAATATGAATATGAATATGAATATGAATATGAATATGAATATGAATATGAATATGAATATGAATATGAATATATGAATGTGAATATGAATATGAATATGAATACGAATATGAATAAGAATACGAATATGAATATGAATATGAATATGAATATGAATATGAATATGAATGTGAATATGAATATGAATATATGAATGTGAATATGAATATGATTACGAATATGAATAAAAATATGAATATGAATATGATTATGAATGTGAATATGGATATGGACATGGATATGAATATGAATATGAATATGGATATGAATATAAATATAAATATGAGTATCCGTATCAGTATCAATATAAGAATGCGGTTGCGCACGCGCAAGGGTGCTGCTGGAAACAAATAGAAGACGTTTGTGAGTTAACACAAATTTATTAGATTTTCACAAAACGCAGAAAAATTATTTCTGGTCAAATGTTTACCAAAGCGGGAACTAGAGCTTTTGCCTGGAAAAAGAGATTTTGTGCAAGGAATATTTTTAATTCACGGCAGAATATTTTTTCAAGCGAGGAAAAACACACAGAATTTCTTTCTGCCATGTCAGCTAAATTATCGAATCAGCGTTCAGCACATAAAGATAGTCTTGTATTCTACATATTCTTAACACTCTCAATTCTCAAAAACTAAAGACTCACGAAATTCTTTCTTACCTTCTTTTGATTGCCTTAAAATTTTCGCACAATATAGTTAATTGCAAAGACAGCTAGTACAAAAAAATGCGAAAAATTCAAGTCTCCATTCCGCATTATTAACTTGATCCTCAGAATGGCTGAGTGCCCTGAGAATTACTCTTATAGCCCGAGGGGATTTAGGTCATTCCATTAACGTTATTGTTCAATACATCATAAGGAAAATACTAAAGTCAGAGCGTAAAAATTTTCATGATAACTTCAACAAGGAATTTTCTAACTTTTTGAAAAAAATATCATATTAACTGACTTGTTTTGTTTCAGTCAGTTAAACCAAGCCAAATATTTTTTTTTTTTTTAATAAAAGACTGCCAAATAAAAATTAAACCGCTTAAATTAAAAATATAATCTAGTATGGAGTTTCATGGCCCATTATTTTAGCATAAAAATGTCCAAATTTGAAGTGGCTATAAATTGGCATTGATTTAAATTTTTTTTTGTCTGACGGATCTATTAACAAAATCGCTTCTTACTTTGAACAGAAATTTCCAATGCCAAGCAATTTTTAGTTCTTAATAAATTTCGAAATATTTCTAACCAGTTTCTAATTACTTAAAAAATTCCTTGGTATAGAGAATATTGGTGGCAACTCTACATAGAGAACAACGCAGTAACCAATAATACTTGTAATAAGCCTCTCACAATTCTCTCATAAATACCTAAATCCTCCACCCCAGTTACACAATAAACAGCGAGAGAGCGGAAATTTTCGAGAGCATCCAAAGAGTGTCAACGGAAAGTTTCCTTTGCAGATGTTTTGCAGACTTGCAGCGCGCGCCGGCCAAAGCTATATAAAGAAGCCGCATGCCGCAAACAATTTCATACGCTGCAGGAAAGCGTCAGTGTTTACACGTAGAAAATAAAACCGGCAGCACGCGCTAGACAACAACATAAATCAAACAAAGACACGCTCTACTATATAAGAGACAAACAAAGAATGCAATTGTAATAAAAAATAGAAAGTCCTCTCAACGGATGGTGAAAAAAAAAAACATTGCATTGTTGAATGCTGAATTTAAAAACAAAATAAAAATTTGTTAAGGTGCAAATTAGACTGTAAAAAAAACATTTAGTGCCAACAGAGTTCCATTTTCTTATTACAAACACAGTTAAAACTGATTGAGTAACTCTAGTGTAAACCACAACGCAATGGGCACTTTGCATGTCTGTTTCGCTGACCTGCCGCAGTACGGAAAACCCACTCCGCCCATAGACGTCTCACCGTTAGCCACCACCAGCAACCAAATTGAAACACTGTGTGAGTTAAGTGATGCTGCTGTTGATGCTGTCACCGCCACCGACTCCCCTTCAGCAATGACGCAACAAGCCGACCCAAACAAGGACATGCCGCCATGCAGCCTATCGCCTGGTGCCAACAGCGCGCACAGCACATCGCCAACTCCACGCTACGAACGCAATATTAGCTTCTTTCATCAACTCAGCCGCCGCTTTGGACTGCTGCGCTCCAGCGATGACCCAGTTTTTAGTGCCGCCGAAGATGACTCGACCGATTCGTGCTCCTCGACTACGGGCGCATTGCCGCCAATGCAACGTTCGACCGGTGCATCGACGACGTCATCGTTATGCGCGCCAAATGGCGGCGACATCAATACTTTGAGCAGCAATAGCAACATTAGCGGCAAAAGTGGAGCACACTTACACACTAGCAACGGCGGGTGCCTGAAGGACGGCCACGGCTCGAGCAGTGAGCATATTTCATGCGCCTCCAGTGAGACGAGCAGCACTGCCGACATTGAGGAATCACAAGAACAACAAATGTGTTCACCGAAAGCGGACGCCGCCACCGCCACCAAATTGTCACCAACCAAAGAGCGACGCTCCAGTGCACGCGCCAGCTTCTCACGCCTTCAACGTCGCTCCACATCTTCCTTGCGACGCGCATTCGAAAGTTTCTCATTGTCAACGCGTTCACTTTCATGCAGCGGTGCGACTCCGACTGCTGCTAACACGCCCGTAAACGCACAGCAGGCGGCACAACGCTCCGGCAACGGCAACACGCCCATCAAATCGGCACTCAAATATAATTCCAATGTTGAATTGAATAGAAAGTTGCAAGCCGGTGGTGGTGGTGGTGTCATTGGCGCCTGGCATACGTCATATTCGGCATCGAGTTTACAGCTATCGTCGTCAGCAGCTGGCAGTTCGTCGTCGTCGTCGACATCAAAGTCATCATCGAAAGGCAAGACAAAGCCACCGCCGCAGCGTATACTTCGGCAGCCTGTCTCCTATACGTATCTGAAGGGCATATCCGGTCTGCCGACACAACGAGTGCCTCGCAGCGCTGTCTGCTGTCAGTATGCAAGGCGTTGAAAGCACTAAGCGGTGATTGCCTTCAAAGGCGCGCAGCGTAGAGTTTTAGATACCGTTAAAGTGTTCAGCATACATACATACATACTCGTTCAACACAAAGCATATTGAGGGCCAAAGAATTATGGGCGGTTTTGCCTATGCCACTAATACATACATACATATATCACACGAGTAGTTAGTTGACAGTTCGAGAGTTCAAGAGTTTGTTGTTGTTGGTTTGCGTTGAAGTGACGTACATGAACGTACATATAATCCGTAGTAGAAAGTTTTTGCCATGCATTTGGGTATTAGTGTGCGCATAGAAATCGAAAGAGACAAGAGCGAAGTAAACATTAAATACATAAGCCGAGCTATTTATAAATAATATCGTATTAGAGCGTCCGTACACAGTCACACACACACACACACACAAATTTTGTATTGGCGACTCCATGAATGCTAGAATTTAAGGCGACTTCATTTAAGTACACGCACACACACACTTATAAATGCACACTTACGCTATTAAATGCATTAAAACAAGATTTCTTTTTTTTTTTTGTTATTCGATTGCATCAAACAAAATCTGTGATAAGTATCATTTTCATATCGGATGTAAACTCACAGCAATGTCATTATTTAATAAAGTATTTTAGAATCACTAATTGGTAAAAATAAAATGAAATTTTATTCCACATGTAGGCCAGCTTTCTTTCTTATGATTAATATCCTTAAAAAAACACACTCACAAGACACGCAGTTGCAGATTTCACAGAGCTACAAAGGGAAGTCGGAAGGAGCATCTCTGAACTCAGCTGAATAATGCATTCTTGGGACCCAAAAATTTCGGTCGCGTATCACGATCCTCGTTTTCAAATTACTCCATCACGCCTAGATCTATGTAAAATGAAGTCAAAGCGCAGAATCCGACACCAATTCCTAGCCTAAATATAAGTCAAGAGATTGAAAAGAAATAATTGACCTTTAAATTACCTCTAAGCGATCTCTAGAAGTCACTTTGGCTAAAAGATCAAATCGTATCTGGACTTAAAGTTTTCTGTTCTTTCAGAATCCATAGTCAAAAGACTATTTCGAATTAGAGTGTCTGATCTGGACCTATAGAAACTACACCTCGGTTTCCTTTTGTGGCTCGGTATTATTTTACTCGACAAATATTATAATTTAATTTGTTTACAGAAAGAATTCTTGTCGTTAGGCTGGTAACAGAGTGGGCAGTAAAAGCTTTGAAAGTCTTAAAGCGATACTTTTCAGTCAATGAATTGGCTTTGGATTTACTAGATAATTAGATAATCCAAAATGCATATGTTAGGTGAAAGTTAGTACTTGCATGAAAAGTTGGCATATCATAGCTGATGAAGCACACTCTGTCAATAGCCTAAGGATAAGCGATGAGGCCAATTATAAAGAACTCAGTTTTAACGTGGCAACTTTTGTTTTTACTTTGACGACGAATAGAATCAATTCATTTTCTCTGAGACAATACATGTATTTTGTTTGCATTCAAAAATCTTTGGAAATTATAATATGACATCTTTCGTTAACATAAATAGGCCATATTGGGCCCTTTACCATTTGTTTTGAAAACTATGCACATGTAACATGAGATAGACTATCCTTATATTAAAAACACTTTAATTTTAAAATGCAAAAATAAATATGACAAGCTTACAAAATTTAATTAGTAAGCCCAGTGGGTTACCAGCTTAAGAGGGTACACCACGACTTAAAATACTTTTGTAGCCCTATGATGACTACCTATACTTACAATCCAAGATGCTTGCCACAGAAACTTTTTAAACAAATTTCATAAAAGGAAGACATTCTGGCTCCGTTTATCCATCTCTAATGCTTTATACGTGTGAGCGCATATAAATATGGCCAATTAGGTGCCCTCTGAACGACCTAATGCTAGCTATATTCGATATGCATTCTAATGAAATTTAACCCAAAGAGCCCGGCCATTCTAAGGCTTCCTATACCCTCGTTGCAATTACTACGTTCATTCGGAAATTGAAAGTCTCCAAAGAGCGGAACTGAGTCCGTAAAATGATTCCGGTCCTAAAAGCACAAACGATGACCTTTCCTACGCCAGTTCGTCGATGATCTAATTTCCTTTGATCCAAAATTCAACAATGTCCCCCCGCACTCCTTGACGAGCATGAAAAAGATGGTCCTTTTTGATAGAGCCCTGATAGACGCTTGGCAGTCTGAAAATAAAATTATAATTTGGTATTTCAAACTCTGTTAAAGGTATATTTAGATTGGCACAGTTCGAGGTAGCGAGCACCTCGCCCTGAAAGGCTGTGGATCATCTGTTCATTGCAATAGAAAGTCTAGCGTCAGATCCATAAGCAGTCACTCCTGTTCTTTACCCCCGCCTGTGTATCTCTGTACATTTCTGGAAGCCAGGTGCAAGTATCCGATTTTTATCTGGAAATTGCAGCCAGAACAGTTTATTAACTTAAAGAGAGAAAATTTGTTAAGAGCGCGTTTTCAATACCTATTCGTCCTTATAAACCCAAAAACTTTATTGTTTTTAAATTCTACAGAGTTTTCTCTCTCATTTGGTATCCATATTGTTATTCTAAATTGCACAAATTTTTTTAAATCATTTTTTGAATTAATCATATTTTTAAAAAGTCATTTAAAAAAAATCCTGATGTCATAATGAAAAACTAAAAATGCACTTTTATTATATTTGGTGCAAAGTTTCGTGCGTATATCAATTCTTTCGTGTGTTTGAAAAATGAAACTGCTGGGTGACGCTGAAGTCAAAGTAAAATATATATTCAACAAAAATGGATGCTTTATTAGCAATAAAAATTCGTTTAAGAACAATATTAGATGACAAAAAAAAATTCAATTGAAATTTTAGTAACGCAACGCCATGCAACTTTACGTCAGATGCTTCGGCTGATAAAAATTTAATTTTATTTTTTACGTTTTGTCATGGAAATGTCACGTTACCCATGTCAAAATCTATAATCAAAAGCATATTTTTTCTTGATCCAAGGTTTGTGTTCCTAAAAGGACTTAATTTTATGATAATTGACTGCCATTAAATTCCTAGTACTGCTTGTGCTCCAAAATACTAATTTAGTCCATTTTCCTATACATCAATTAAATGTGTGTACATATGAAGTTAGTTAGTTTACGCCTTGTAAATACCTGATTTAATTTAAAAATTTAATTTTGCTTCTTGGTTCACATGTACAAACATTCCTCAAATCCTAAGTGGCTAAGAGTATACATAAATACATTAAGAAAATAAATATAAAAACTCGCAACTCTAAATATTCGGTTTCAAGTCTCTTAGAAAGATTTAGCTTAATCAAAATAAATTAAGTATCATTAAAAAAATAAGTGCAGCTGCTTTATTTATCCAAAATAATATGTTTTTATGTATATAAAATCTATTGGTTACCAAAATAAAATGTAATAAGTATGCATTAAAATAAATATCAAAACAACTGGAAATATACCTTTTGGCAAATTTTTTCTCTGCAACTCAACCAAAATAATTTATTAATCGCTCTAATTCAAACAAGCGCACTAAAGCAAGAAACTCACTATAATGCGAAGCACACACACCCACAGTCATTAGTAATGCATAACAAATAAAAAAAAAAAAAACTCACGATAATAATAACAACAACTTCGGAGTACTAAATACATAGATACATAAATAACTATAACTACTTTTCAACGCCAAAATAGAGGGCAATAATAAATAATAAATCTAGAGAAAAATATTCAAAGAATTGCTCAACAAATAAACAAATCTTAACGACTTTATACAATAACAACAATAATATTGCGCAGCAAATCGAATGAACTACACTAAAATGATAAACCTTTACATACAGACGTACTAAGTAAAATATATTGTAGCAAGGTTTTTCAACAAAATATTCGCATTTGTACGGGCATATATAAGTATATATACATATTTGTATAAGATTGCACTGCAAAAGAAACATGGATATTTAAGTAGTTTTATTGCAATATTTGTGCACGAAATACGTACTTTTTGTCAGCTCAAAGCTATCGAAAAATTCTGTATGATCCAAATAATTATTATATCTACATGGTACCATCAATAAAAATATTTGAAAAAATGCAGCTGAACACATGTGTTTTTATTTAAATTGCTTAAATTAAGTAGACTACTTAATGCAAAGCGATTAATGGTTGATGAGTAATAATGCTTGAAGAAATTGGCGAAATCGGCGAAAATCGCTATCGCAACATAAAAGTTGTTGATCTCGGGTGAATTTCATATGTATTAGTGTCTTATATTTCTTCTCAAGAGCCATTGTTATATTGTTACATTGTACATTCGTTATATTGGGCTATTGGTACAAAATAAAAAAAAATAAAATGGGAGGGCAATTTTTTTTTTTTGTTATCGCTCGATTGGTACAATACAGCGAACTTCTATTGAAAACTTTTAAAAAATTGTTTTTCGTGATTTGGCTAAAGAAAAATATTTGTTTATTCACACGATTGGGATATAATTTGCACCAAATTTTGGGCAAATACCTCATCGTGTAACACTGCCTTAAAATCGCAACTGTGACTAGCAGACTGGAGTTTTGAGTGTTTGGAGTTTGCCAAATTGCAAAAAAAAAACAGTTTCAAAGAAAATTTGTAAATTTTAAATTTTATGTGAAAGTTTTTAGAAAAATTTAAGTGCAGAAATAGATTGGAAATGGAAATTTAAGCACTCCTTTACAACACTACAGCAAAATGCTTAGATACTTAATTTCGCAATTTGCCACACTCCAAATGGATTTTAGACCCATGATATCTTCGTAAAATTTTTTTTATAATGACACGTTGAATACTTCTGTACTTTACGCGTATAGTCGAAAAAATCACCCATACAAATTGAACCCGCCCTAATGTACACATGTAAATTGTATAAACGTGTGCTATTTGTCCTTAGCAAAATTAAAATGGATTAATAGCGAAATAAACAGTCACTATAAACGTGCTCTTGTTATTTCCCTCAATTTCCGAAATGATAGCACCATCGTGTAACCTTAACGTACCGTTGAAGGTCGCGGGCGTCGACAGAGTCGAGATCAGCTAAACATCGAAAAGTATGTTCGTTAAAAATAACAAGTCTTGACCATGCCAGAGCGGGACGGTGGCAGAGATAGTGTTCTGCACTCTCCACCTCCTCATCGTCCCAGCGGACATATTTATGTGTTTTGCTTGACTCAAAATGATCGCCGGCGAAGCGGTAAGTTCGGAAGCTTGGAATTTCTTCAATTTTAATTCAATTCTAAATCAACGAAAAATTATGATTGTGTAGCGAATACCTCCCAATGTGATTCCGCAATAAAAAGCGTGCTCATAAATATTTACCCTTCGTTGGAAAAACGGTAAGCGTCGAATATACTATATGGTAAATGTTTGTATTTAATTGAAGGTGAACAGCTTAAGCTGACTTTGCTCATCAATGATGATTCGGGTAATGACGTCACGATATCAGCCAGTCCTGGAGATGAAGGAAAGAAAAAAAAAACATCAGTCGCCATTTGTAAATAAATCGCAGTCGTGTTCACCTACGCGAGAAAAAACATAGCGCGAACATTTCAGTGATGACGTCACACGGAAAGCTGATTCTGTCAAATTCGCCTAGAAAAGTAGCCATACTGCTGAATGCGCCATTTCTGTCTCTCTAAATCGGGAACGATGCGATGTCGAACCCTGATGAAGTCTATAAAAGAAGTAGCTATAACTTCTACCGCATTCACTTTGTAGCTTTTTCTATTCTTCCTAATAATAAATAGTGGTGTAAAGCTCAGTAACACTTTAGAAATAAAACATTTTTTATTATTTTTTATTATCAAACATCAGACTTACTTTCAAACACAGGCAATCAAGGCCATGCTGCAGTAATCTTGAGCGTAGGATATCGTGAAACTCCCTCTGGTGGCTGAGGAAAGTTCGTGATTTTTTATAAGGGAGCACAACCCTTGAACTCCTTGGTTTTTACTATCGGAGTACAAACCGCAGAGTGTGGTTGGAAAGGTTGTCTGAATGCTAGTAGATCATTCTCATCAACAAAGTGTACAATCTATTACAAATTAAGATAATGATTCTTTCAGTACAAAAACTTACTTGTACATTTTTTTTTTAAATAATGCCAGTATTCTTTAAAAGAGCCTGAAATTATGCGCTATGGACATTTGGGCATCATTTTAGAAAATGCGAAAAAAACAATAAAATAGTCAAAAATATATCCGACAAAATACGACAAAATGCGATCAAAATTTCTACCAAAATAACGACACTTTTTGCTCAATATCTCGGAAACTAAAAGAGATATCCAAAAATGGAGAACGCTATTTTTAAGATATTGATTAGTTTAATATGACTGTATCGCCAACTAAATTTTTAATATATTATCGAAAAAGTTGTCGTCAATATCTCGGAAACTAAAGGAAGTATCTAAAAACTGATAACAACAATCGAAAGACCTTATTTTAAGATATATAACTGCATGTAGAACTAAAAATCGCCAAAATGGCGCTTACGACAAAATTTTACCCAGGCGACGATTTGTGTACACAAATGTATGCACATTGAATTTCCAAAAAAAAAAATCTTGGTCACTCTAATGAGAGTGTATAAATATTTGTTCCCCTGAGAGTGACACTCACTCTTACTACATACACGCCTCACATAATTTGACATTGAATCACACCACGTTTAAGTCAACTTCAAAAATAGCAAAGCAGCGGTGTGATTTGGAGTGGAACATCCTAAAAAAAGAAAATTTAAAGTCAATAAAAACAGGTAATAAAAATGTTAAAGTTAAGTTCAAATTACTTTGATCTAGTTAGCAAATTGTTTTCCAATCAAAGCGCAAATAAAAAAAAATGACGATACTAAGAAAAGACAGTGACGAAAACTAACGTCTTTGAAAGCGAATCATGCTTTTTAGTAAAATAAAAGTTATGTGCCCGTAGGAAATGTGTAGGAGCGCATGATAATGCCTTACTAGCAACTTACGCTTCACCTGGCGGTCCTTACCACTTCCCTGCCGAATCTAGTAACTTAGAATCTACATTTGGTTAGTGGCATACGTCCGAGTCACTTTACCAAGTAAGGTACTTAGTATGTAGAGCAGTCACTCTGAGAAAAAAATTCGGAGATCGATAAAAAACTTCGGCGGCACGTTATTTTGCAATTTACAACGTACGGCGTCATCGGAGGTGTCCATTTTGTACTTTTATAACAGTTGGCATTGGTCGTTATGACAATTTTGGTACTAAAAGCTGAAGGAAAGCATGGATTATTTCATAAGGTGCTTACCTATATTCCCAGAGGGATATACAAGTATGCACATACATACATATGTTCCTAGTACCCATATATGTATGTATGCATTTACACGTATCTATTTATAAAATATATGTCATTTGTTCCAATAAAAATATACATAATTACATACATACATACATATATGATTGAAAAATATTGTATCACGTGGGTAGCTATGTGGTTTGTGAATATCTGCGCTTACATATTGTATGTATCCAGTTTTAGCTTTGTCCTCTTAATATTTTTGCTTATAATTTATTTTATGTGTATATGTATGCAACAAACATTCTCCACCACAACAGAGCGCAAAAATTTTCAATAATAATAAACTCCACTGACCTGAATTTTTCACTAAAGCAAAACCGCACACAGCCCATCGGTATCATAAATACTTAGCTAGCCACCGAACTGTATATGCAACACAATTCAATAAGCATTTGTTGTCAATGGGAAAAATAGTGTCAACCCCCTGCAGCTAATGGTTAATTCATAAGACAGCATTGAAATATTTAAGCTCTGGTGGTGCGGGGGTAAAGTGGCATCCAAATGAATGTCTTTTATTAAAAGCACTGACCGACATACTAAATATTCAACTGGAAACCATTGAAATTCGGCCAACGCGTATGCATGTAGCTGCAGGATATAGAGAAACGATTTGTTTTTTCAACAGTCGCATAGAACAGACGATAGGGTATGAGGTCGAATATTATTACATATATGTAAATATGTACAGATGCTTGAAAGAGTCATGTTAAGACTTGTTTAATTCTGTTCATTCATATTACCTATGCATACATTTGAAAGTTGCTCATACGACATGACAAATTGACAGTTGGAAAAACTTGGTACGTTTTAGTATTTCAAAACATTTGAGTAACGGCATTTTCATCTCAAATACTTTACTTTGCGTATTTCAGAATATGAATCAGGCTGGCATGCACACACACTTACATAATTAATTAAAGCCATCCCAATAGGTAGTACTTTCTAAAATTCTTCGCTGCCTCGCTATTATCACAGATGCAGGCGGGCACACCGCTATCTACCTGAAAATCATGGCTTAAATCATACTTCCTAACGAAGGTTCATAAAGAATGGTCGACAGAGGGATATCCCCATAAATCTGGAATTAAAATCGGCCACCGATTCATGGGAAAGCATGCCGCAGATGCAGAATGCAGAAATACGCCCGTTTCATCATTGATTTTTTGACTCTCTGGCGAATCTAAGCTCAAGTGGCACTCATGGATTCTCGCGGTATCACAACGGGCCAACTGGATCTAAATATACCTCTCTCTTCTAATGGATACATACCTCAACCTAACCTAACCTATCACTTTTATTTTCGTTTTCTTCATAGTTTTCGTCATCAATATGGTTACTCATATCGTTATCATTCCCACCTTTTTGTTATGGAAATCATTATGGATATTGTTATTTGCCGAGTTAACGCTATCAACTTTTCCACCGGTAGATATTATTATTATTATGTGCCGTATGCACTGCGCTCTCTATATTGCGTGACCCTCCCTCCTATTTTCCACCAATATAGTCAATGTATATTTTACACATTTATTTCGATCGTTATCGATATTGTTATCGATATCAATTTTGTTATCGTTATCAATTGTGTTATATCAGTCGATATTTTTATGGTTATTTAATTAGTTATCGCTTTGATCGTTTGATCGTTCTCAATATTGTTACTTTAATAAACTATTGGCATCTTATATGGAAGTGTCGTGGTACCATAATATCAAATCATTAACAATAAAATTTCGATTCTACCACTTAACCAGTCTCTTTATGAACTATAAATTAACTACAGAAAAAATATGCATTTAAAGCCGACCCATATTTTGAGCTGTAATTAAAGCAATAGTTTGGTCGTTTATTACATTAGGCGTGGGTGGTAATGCAAAAAACCTACTATGAATTAAGCACTCAAGCAATATCTAAATAAAAGCCTGTTTGTACATACATATATGGGTATTAGCTTTAATCCGAATAATTATATTTATGTTGGCTGTTTATTCATAGTCTGATTCTCTTGCAATGCTTGAGGACATTTACATGCTGTGTTGTTCATAGATGCATACATACAAACATACATACATGTCAATACAAATCTGTGCTAAATAAAGCGTGGCAAAAAATATATTTATTCGCCTCATGGGCATCCATTTGAGTAGCTGCTACTGGACATTAGAGCACATACTTACTTACACATATATAATATATACATATATATACTTGTAACAATGCAAAAATAAGCTTAAATTTACATACATATGCATTTAGCCGAAATCTGTTAATAACTTCGTTGTCCTAGGCAGCGTAATATGGTTCACTAGTCAACGCATTAGTTTGTCGAAAAAAGGAAACTAGGTCAATGCATAAGCCATGTTTAATTTGATACGGCTATTTATTTCGCCAGACAAAGTTTTCTCGCAAGTACATACATACATATACATAAAGAGTAGCATCAAAATGAGTGGGCGAAGGTAAAGCGCAGTAAATTTTACACGTTAATGCAATTTAGGTTACACAAAAAGGTGTATACAAAATAGTAAGGGATTAATTATGTCTTTTACTTATTTTCAAATTATTCTTTATACAAACACATATATTTCTCAAAGGTATTTAGCACACTTAATCTTTATCAAATCAAATGACTGAGACCTCATATTGAAGAGGGGAAGCCCACGTACCTACAAAAAATAGTCACGTAGTTCAAGTTTAGGTATTTTTAAAAGAACAAAGTGGTTTTAAAATGTTGGTAGCACTGTATCCTGTCAATCCAGCTCCATATCTTCAATAATGGTCCATCAAATTTAGTGTCACACAAACTCACAACTCCGAACGGCGATTGTATTTTATGAGAAGCTGCAGAAATACACGCGGAGGTCT